TTAGGTTCTTACGGCTCGTGAGACTTTAGACTGGTTTCCACGGGAATGTGAGGACTTACCATAGTACCGACCAGAAACGTCCTTCAAATTGAAGCGAAAGGCAGACCGGATGTTAGGTTCTCCATTTAACTTTTTTAGGAACACAGCCCCAGTGGCGACAGTGGCTTCTGCTGCTAGGATTTTCCTGCAATAGAATCACTCGTTTCTGCTCGGTGAGATCATCTTCAATGCATTCTCTTTCAAATGCAACTGGTTCTTGCGTGATCTTCTCCCATTCACCGTCGGCTCCATCCGAGTGATCATCAATGTAGGTTTCTTCCGGCGAGAGGGTGGCCGGCCTTTTTTCGAGAAGTCATCCTTTCGTAAGGGCTTGGCAGGCCTAAGGTATATATATAGTGGGATAGAGTACGTCCAAAATGTGAAGAGGTTTGATTATGAAGGAGGCAAAACTATTGCGGTAAGAGGGAAGGGTAACTCCTTTATAATAGATTCAAGAAATCAAGTGTCTCACGTGCTGCTCACAGGGCGGATCGAAATCAGCTTCACCATTTTGTTCTCTCCTTTTCCTATTCGACAGATCAAGATGATCTAAGCCAGATATAGACTGAAGTGCGTCTAGCCAATATTTAAGAAGAACCGAAGGGGTAATGTGGTAAAACTGATTTCGAGCGGTTCTGTTTCTGGTGTTGCAGACAACCAGCTTGTCCGAGAAGCCATCCATGATTGTAACGTGAGCAATCTGCCCGTCGAGGTGATTTTACGGATGATGGAGAAACGGATATCAGTGGTTCGTATTGATTGGCGGCCCGCCCCTAGCTCGATATCCAGCCATGGTTAGTATCTGCAAGGAGTCTATCGAATACTGGGGAGGGATGCGCATCCACTTCCAAATTCGCCCCATCTGAGATATGTGCAGGTGGGGTAAGTATACTTACTTTGAGGTACAACAAAGTCGGCTTTCAGACCTGCAGTTATCATGGATTCGGACGTCCTGATTGACTGTTTCGGATGGATACACCCACGTTCTAAAATAAGTCTGGTGGAACGGGATTATTGAAAGACTTCCAAACCCGCGGACGCCTTGCAACTGCATATTGTCCGAGCGCATTCGACCTTTTCCCAGAGATACAATGCGCCTACTTGTTCACGCCTATTGTCCCCGGGAAATACCGCCTAATTTAGTTCTGCTAATGAGAAGAAAAAGATGCCTCATCAAACCATACCTCGGTTGCTGCCAGCCACAACGGATTCATTTCGAGCTAGAACAGCAGGTATGCTCACAGATGGATTTACCTCTACGTCTAAATGTGATGGAGAAGCTTGGAATTTCTGAGGCACATATAAAACAATATGCGCGCACGATGGCTGAGGCCCTTGCGCTTATGCATTGTGTCGACGGTAGGGGCGTTGAGTTTATCCTTGCGCCGCCTTGGGGTGGGATCATCAACGCTGACACCGTTTCAAACGTGCTTGGTGATCATTGCATGTGGGTGTGTGATTTTGATCTTTGTAGGGATATGTCCATGGATGAAGCAGGGGTTGAACAAGCAGTTGAGGCTTTTTGGCAGGCCGAGCCATTCCATCCACGGCGCGCAACTGGGGATTCTCTCTGGTTCGATTTTCGAGAACAATACCTACGGACTAGTGAGGAGCGTCTTGAATACGGGCTCTTGGATGAGTCAATGTGTAACCACCGAAAGACTCTATCACAATTATTTATACAGATAGTTGAAAAGAGGGAGAGTGATTGACCACAACTATGTTTAGAAAAATCAAATAAGAAATCTGCGCTGAAGTCTGGCAGTGGGCCGAGAGAGAGTCTCAGCGTGTACTGATCAAGGCAATTTAAGAAATCACTGTAACTGTCCTGCACATGTAAATGAACAGCATGATCTCTCAGAGCAATCTCATTCTGTTCCTGACGAAGACATTCCACCACTCCTTCGAAATTGGTCATCCAAATCTGCTCTTGCTTAGATGTTGTTCGTGGCTGTTTAGGACCCCTCCAAATGATATGATTGATTAGAAGTGGATCCAAGAAAAGCTTATTTACGAGCAAAACTGAATGGACACGTATCTTGGAAAAGGTTGAACCAAGCTCTCCTTTTTAAAGCAAGACTCAGGCTCCGATTTTCCCAATCTCCTGATCTTTAAGAATTACTGGTCCATGTTTCTACACAATCAGCAAAAAAGCCAAGAATCATAATCCCAGGATACAGGAGCCAGACCGCAATGCATATACTTGCAAAAGTTGCTGGCGGCGAAGTTGACGAGCATTACGATGTTCTCCAGGCATTCTTTGCTGAAGGTGCCGACGGTTCGGGCTTAGTGATGACGTTCCAGCGGCAACTCTCTGCAGACGAGCCATGGAATGGTGATCCTTCAACAGACGATTATTTCAACAACAGTTATTGCATCACCCTCGGATCTGAAGTGACGATATATGGAGGGCTAGAGCAGGTCTCCTTTGTGGATTCCCAAGGATGCTTTTATTTCTCTGATCATGCGGCTGCCGATCTCGGTACAGGACGACAACTCGTCGTTAATTTTGAGGTGTCTGGGCAAGACCTACAGCTCTTTCAGCAGTTTCTCAGGGAAGCAGTGACATGGGGAGTCCCTAGTCAGATCCCTCAACTCGACGGTTTAGCCTTCGAAAGTTCCATCATGGAAGTTTCCAACACTCAGCCAAACGAGCCAGAAGAAGGAATTAAGGCCCGCAATCACAGGGGCGGTTACCCTAAACTCGAATTCCTCTCCCAAGAGCAACTGGTTCCTGAAGGCGGAACCCCTCCTGATGATGTAGCCGGTTCCAGCGAACCATCCCTCGAGGACATCGAATATCTTTCCAACTTGACTCCTTCGCAGCAGAAGATATGCGATAGCCTGCGCGGCTTGGGCTGGATTAATACCGATATTTGTAACTTTCTGATCCAGCTTGAGAACAAGCGAGAACACACACGGGCTGAACTGAGAATGAAGGGGCAGAGTGAGACCGACATTCAGAAGCTCGAGGATATCTGTAAGACAGATATGACGGATTTCTCGCACCTTCTACGGTCTGGCGCCAACCGGGCCCTCGAGGAATACCAGACTGAGCTATACCTGCTGCATGAAAACAAGAGACAAAGAAGAATTATGTTAAATGAAGAATAGATTCTTCTTCATCCCTTATTCGCTCAATTAGGAGGCTCACTGGAAGATACATATGACCTCCCATGAACGCAGTGCGTCTCCTCGCTGATGAGAGAATTACGCTTCATGTTTCTGAGCATACATACTGTAACGACAGACTTATTGTGAGTGACTATTAGTTGCGGCCTACGCCATCGGCTGCCAAAAAGGCTGTTGTTCGTCCGCTGGTCGAGACAGGGAATCAACCCATGCTGTACAAGTTAAGAAGGAAAGCTGAAGCCACCTTGAGAAAACCCAGGAAGTAGTTGCTAGGCGACCATCCCGCAAGACTTGCAAAGCCCTACAATAGATTTCCACGCAATTATATTCATATCCCGTAAGCCTGAAATCATCACATAACAGGATACAGTACCATACTGAGTACCTTTTTCGATGTCCATCAATTTGATGCGGCCCACTCAATATTTGATCCGTGCTAAGGCCTTGGCGGTGGGACCAGAAAAGAGTGACGAAGAGTGTTTCTGTCAACCCGATTTTAAGAACGACTGGAAAGAACCCGAGATTGTGATATCCAATCAGTGAACCGGAAACAAATTTTGCTAATGGATTACAACAAGGACTGTATCCTCAAGACTCCAACGCGTTTTTCGATTGAATACGAATAACTTTTTTGACTCAATATTACTCCTTTGATGCCTCGGGACCTTTGTATATAGAGTTCTTTCATGATTGCAGGTGTATGACAACCACACTTCCTAGAAGAAGTGCATGGAAGATGCATGGAATCAGCATTGTCATCGTTATGCATACGGCTCAGTAGGGAGATCTATACGAACTGGATTCCCTTCATGACTTCCCCTTAGCAAGGATTAGTTTCTGTATGAAGAATACAATAGGTTCTCCTCTCCACTGTTGAATTACCTGCCTGACCAACAGGTGCTAGCCTGAAAACTAGTATTCTTGCAAAATGCTTACGTTTACGAATATATCCGACGAGAGAAAGCTTTCAACCTTTAAATATTAGAGTCAAGTATATGGTTTTATTACGAATGTATGGAATGGTATTTGTCGAGTTAATGGCGGGAGTATTATAATACCTATCTCTAGTCCTAGAAATCCTAGCACTACGAAGTGATTATCTATCGCTGTACCGTTGAGATCCCAGAAGCTCTCTATGATCTCGGTGAACCACGGGTGGCCCCGTGGGAACCCCGTGCGCACCCGAAAAGCGCACGAGCAGGTGCTATGAATACCCGTATATAGTCTTAGTCGATGGTGACCCCACCAATGAAAAAGACATGCGATCCTTTCTGAATCGCACCGTCATTCGTCCTAGCTACTACCCCTTTTACTTATAGGATCCGAATCTCTCTACAGAAAACCGTTTGCGATACTAGCTACGAAGTGATAATCTAAGGGAATATATTAAAGGGTAGCACTTAGCTAAAATTCGGTATTGTTAGATAAAGCCGATAGATATATAGATACTCTTAAACCTTTAACAATGAGCGTGACCTTGGATATTACTTACACGACGCGTATAGGCTAAAGGAAACTATATAGTAAAATCTAAAGCTACCTAATAAGAGAAAGTGTGCGTGTAAGGTGGAAGCCTGAAGTTCTGTAATAGAACCAAGCGAGGAGCGTCCTAAAAGAATCCGATTTCATTATTACTTCCCTCCGTATCATAAACGTGAGTACTATGTGCTAGAAAATCTATTCCTCCCCGTCCCTACTTACTTCCCTTTATTGAAGAAAACCCGGAACAATTCTCCCGCCTTATTATGTGTGACAAATCTAACACGAGTAGTGGAAGTAATTCAGTCGAACTTTGCTTCGCGGTGGTAGGTTCTCCACTCAGCTCGGGGCTAACAACTCTAGGTGTTAAGGCTATTAATCCTCGAATCCTCGAGCCTTTTAAATTTAATAAGGAGAATACACACTAATCTTGTGATCAAGCTACTATCCAGTTGAATTTACTCCCGCTAGAGGAGAGTGAGACCACAAGTATTCCACCTAGTGGCATAAAAAAGTCACAATCTCCCGCCCGAAGCTTTGTCAGTCAGCGTTCTAGATACTATGCTGTTAATAAGGCAGATGAGGGGAGGAAAGGCTTGTAAGATTGTCTTACCTCTATATCTACCTACGACCAGCCTATTAATGCGTAATATGAGCGTAAGACTTATTCCCATATCCCCCATCTGTGAGTCTCTCGCTCTGATATCTTTCTGACAAATTCTAGTTGCTAAGTGGGTCTGTTTGGTGCTATTGTGACCCGCCGCATTCCTCAGAAATCGCAGGTGTCCACTGAATAAGACTGGAAAGTACTGCCGATCGAGTAATGACTTCAAAGCAGTGAGCCCGAAGAGATTCTCCGATAGTCTCGTTACCTTTCCATTGCATATCCAAATCAATGCATTGAGAAGAGCATACCACTGTCATTCGGTATCCATTCACGACGAGAAATGGCTGCTATTCACAAAGCCCTTGATTGATATTTGACCTATGAAGGTCGGTCCGAGGCAGCATCCGCAAGCCGCAGGACGTATTTTTCAAGCCATCTTCCACGGCAAATCTCGCTTTACATCGTTCAAACGTTCTAACTCGATGTTTGACACCCGTCCTCGATTAAGAGATCGGGCCTAGAAGAGGGCTAGGACACGCTCAGCTCGCCCAATCAGACGAAATTAGCAACCCAAACATCCATGGCCCTAACTCCTTTCCGACCCCCCTGTATACCCTCCAAGCTCGCCTCACACGCATCCCGTGACGCAAGAACCACCGCCCGTTCCCTCTCATCACTCACTTGCTCCTCTACTTCCCTTTCGAAAGAGGAAGAAAGACAAGCAGAGACTTCCCATTGTCCGTCCAACAACCCTTCCCCACCTTGCACGAGGGTCTCACTCTCCAGCTGCCACCCGGCAGCCAGGGCCAACTCGGTAAGCCGCTTTGGCCCCAGCACCGTGCGGACGTTCGAGTCGCTGTTCTTGGGTTTACGACACTCCAGCGCTGCCTGGGTGAGCGCAGCTAATACGTGAGGCTGGGCGGAGGGGTGTGTCGCTACTAACGACCACTCAGCAAGGAGGAGACGCTTGCTGTGCTGCTTCAGGGCACGGAAGGTGGAAAGGATGAGCGAGGGGGAGGCGAAGTACCATAGGCAGTGGGCGAGCACTGTTGCGTCGAAGGCCTTACTTTCGCTGGCGGGCGGCGAGAAGGTGGAAGAGGTGGAAGAGGGGGAGGAGAGGGAGGAGAGGGAGGAGAGGGAGGAGAGGGAGGAGAGGGAGGAGAGGGAGGAGAGGGAGGAGAGGGAGGAGAGGGAGCAGAGGGAGGAGAGGGAGGAGAGGGAGCAGAGGGAGGAGAGGGAGGAGAGGTAGTCCAGGGGGTGTTGTTGGACCCAAGTAATCCGCCCACCCAGCGGGCCTTGCGAGATGTGAGCCTGTGCTTGGCCGAGAGTATACGGGGCACCTGCAGGAGCCATCAGTCGGCGGCTTTCAGCTCGCACCCCCAGGACAGGCAGCAGGGTCAGAAAAGCTAGAGGACTCACCATAATCCAATTCCGCCGGATCGACCGCCACCACTCTCCCCTGCTCGCCCACAGCATAGGCAAGGACAGTCGTGCAGTCCCCTTGCTCGCATCCTAGTTCCAGCACCTTGGAGTCAGTGGGAATGTTCCAGTGCTTCAGGAGCACAAGGCGGTGAAAGGTTTGGGAGTGCTGGATGCTGAAGTGGGTGGGGTCGTATAAGGAGACGCGGGCGATAGAGGCGGCGTCGTGTTGAGTGGACATGTTGTGCTCGATGGGTGTTGGACACAAGACGGCTGAGTGGGTTTTGCGTAGCTAGGTGATGGAACTTGGAACTATAGCCTTTATTGTAGCAACTGAAGAGCTGCGGATGGGGACACCTTATAGTGTCAGACTTGGAGGGTCGCCTGGGAGCACCCCTACCGCAAAATTAGTATGGGGGTAAGCTACTGGGGGTTGATATTGTGACATATTCTTTTACTATTGTGACAAAGCCCCTTCCCCACTCTTTCAGGCATCTACCGGAGTATTCGGATTAAGATATGTCTGGGATATTTTGCCGGCAATTTCCTTGAAAACTTCACGTTCTTTGTTGTTTAGGATTGACTGTTTATATGGGCTCGCTTAACCTATAATAAATTTGAAGAGTGCCTTTAAAAAGTTTATCTGAGCTATTAAAGTTGAAAAAATTATCAAAAAAAAGGATGATAGAATACTCTGAATAGTATCATTTTTAGGGGACTCTAAGTAGTGTCAATGGGGGCTAATGGTATTGAATGTTAGGTATTAGAATGCCTAGAGTCGCTAAAGTTTGGGGGGTTATCTCAGATCTTTCAGTGGATAGGGTAGTTATCAAGGTAAAATTCAAAAGCGGCGGGCGAGTGGGGGCCGAGGCTCCATCGCAACAGTAAAAGAATATGTCACATTATCAATTCCCAAGCTACTGCCCAACTACTCCGCTTTTTAGATTGACCCTGTGGGGCCGGCCCTGAATTGCCCTCTTTCTATAGAATTCTTAGAATCAGACATCTCCTTATCTAACAGGTTGGCCCTGTCCACCAGTCGCCGGATTCTTTGGCAACCACCTCGGAGCGAATGATCAGTCAAGAGTCAGAGTCAGAGATATACACCCCGGCAGCTGGGTGCTTCTTCTGGACCAACGAGGCCGTAGTTCTAGCACTGTTCTGGCACTTTGGCCAGCCTACTAACTTGAGGCTGTGGTGGGGATGCCACAAAAAACACATTGCAAGCTGTCTTGGATATAATAACGGCTTCTCTTCTGTTCTCACATTATTATTCTTAGAGACCCTCCTCTTAAGTCCAGGCTGTCTGGCCTTTCTTTCTTTCTTTCTTTCTTTCTTTCTTTCATGTGGATGGGGACACACCTGGAAGGAGGAAGTAGTTTTCATTCGAAAGGACAATTTCAACCTGAGTTCCTCGACACTACACCGCGTGGGAGATCAATATCGAAACTTTGTGATAGACTGCAGCCGGCCGTGTTTGGATGGGCGCGGTGCAGGGATTCGTCCCGTCCGTCCCTCTTCCATGCGACGATAGCGATGGGACGATAGATTTCTGCAGAAGAACTGCGACTCCACCAATCCAGGAGGAAGATATCTGTAAACAGCGGATACGTGAATGTAGCTCCTAGTTCAACCGGAGATAACACTCCGTAGTATTTGCCTCTTTGCATTCGTTTTGCTTCCATAGGTGCAAGTCTGGGTTCTGCACCAGGTGCCAGCACTCAAACCATCCACCAGCCATTCTCCACGAGACGAGAAGAGTCCAGATATAAAACATAAAACAGTTTCTGCAAGCTAGAGACAGGGCGGTCGCGAACAAGTCGAGCCGTGGAACAGCAAACTCATTCTCCCATGTCAACACGCAGAAGTAATATTGTAGATCGAGGTGTCAGTGTCAGTGCCAATCAGTGTTCTGCAGCGATTCCACGTTGAGCTGCCTGCCCCCGCTGCCCCTCAACTATATACATAGTACGCACCCAGTGCGCGTCGCTCGAGAATCGTTCCCTCTTCTCGATGCGTCCTTCAGCACCTAGACCGCCCGCTTGACAGCACGGCTGCGAGACGATATGGCATGCTCCGGCCCAGCTGAAAGCCTTGTCATCATTTGTGTGCCCTATTTCCACTGGTCTGACGGCAGGCTGACCTATCTGCCCTGATCGTCCTGATTCCTGGCTGTGCCGCCGCGCTGTTAAAATCCATTGCTTGAGAGAGCTCATGATCTTCGCGCCTCTATTTTCCCTAAACTCCATAACATTCCTGGATTTTTCCTACCTGTATCGACCATCACTTTTCTTGATCAGCTTAACGGGCATGTCTTGCTAGAGGAGTTGATCAATTCTGTAATTATATCGAATATCGTTGCTGTACGGCGTCCTCCGAGCTGGCTCTCTTGCTAAAGACTAGTCGTCATATGCGCTGGCTCCTTATTAGATCCTCTTCGCCGAACCGTACATCCTCATTCCGAGTCAATAACAGAAGACGCCTCAATGCCTAACTAATAACGAGAGCCATTGGGCTTTCGATTACACCGAGGGGACTGTCCACCCTGTTCCAGCAACTTCACGAAGGGCAATCTTCCAGCAACGCGCAGTACCAAAAATGGAAAGATCTATCGGCAGACCGTATGGACACGACAAGATAGAATTGCTTTGTCCGGTAAAAGAAATGTTGCATAAAGTGGCAGCCATCCGCGTGATCTATTGCTGCTGCTTTTCGTTGATTAGTACGCCCGAGAAAACCTTGACGTCAAAGCAGAGGATGCTAGTTAATGAGTATGAAAAGAGTGAAACCACTAGCAAAGCTGCATATCATACATCGTCGCCTCACAGCATGTTGCTGTGACTACGGATAGCTGACCCATGTTTATACCAACCCTAACAACTCGCCATCAGTAACCCCCTTACACCACATAATAAATGAAAAGCGCCATTCCCTAATTTCCTAACCAAGACAGAAAGTGTTGCATGCCTCGTATCGTGAACCGCAGCTTGTCCTACAGTCCTATTCCGTTAAAGCAAAGCGGTCCACCACAACCTGGTTGTACTGGTCTCGAACCTCAACATCCGAAAAATCAGGAGCGAAAACGGCACGCCAAAGCTTCGTATCTAGAATTTCTATACTTGCATGAGCGGTTCCAGCTAACATAGCATATAGCAAGCACGCTTACCGTATGAACGTGGTGACGATGTCCGGCAGTCAATGACTAGCCAATCCTCTAGTAGGCCTTGCTAGATCCATTTTTCGTATGCTCCATCGGTTGTAAATCTCTGGCAGTGGCCATGCAGTCGATCACCTTCTTGTAGAAGTTCAATTCCCCATCTAACGCTACTAAGTCGAAAGTCGATTCTGCCAACGCCGTCTGGCGACCATTCGCTAGTGACATCCATAGCGTACCCAAGAACGGTATGAAGAGAGCGATAAAATTCGTCCTGGTAAGTTGCTTCAACTGGTCGAATGATAGCACCGACACCAAACCGAGTTACTGCCCGCAGGTTTCGTCTAGAGAACTGCCTCAGTGTAGCTTCTGCAAGTGCTTTGACATCCGGAAATTTCTCTCGTGGGAACTCGACTCCAGGGTCCGCAAGATAGTACTCTACAAACCTGTTTCATGTCTCAGCGAAGGGGAAGCCGGACAAGAGAGCGCAAAAGGGAGATGGTACTGACTTTGCATGCAAGTTTGTTGGCAGGACGCAAATGATCTCTATCGCCCTACTGTCAAGAGCTTCTGTATGCAGCCAACCCTGCTCGTAGCAGGTTTGGACACCCTCATCGTTGAGATCACGAGGCACATTTCCCTCTATCAACACTTTCCGGAGGATATTTGCTGCGCTTGGGGTAAGGTTCTGCAGGTTAACAAACGACCGGTGTACGGGTGTCTGTTCCAGAAACAAAAACGCCACATCTTTCTGCTCTAGGGCTTTCCGAATGTCGGCTTCATGGACGATGTCCATGCCCCGTTTCAGATCAGAGTGATACACCTAGACCAAATTGGAACCATTAGATGATGCAGGTAGAGTGGGTAGAATCCCAGAAACATACTTTCTGCAACATGTTGAGAACTCCATCGACAGCCCCTGGGTGTCCGTTTGTGAGGTCGGATATATAGTCAGATGCACCGTCATCTAGTTTGAGGAAAGAGCGATCATCTTGACAGTAGCGAGAAACGACATCATCAAATTCCTCACGGTTGTAGAAAAGCGCGATCTTGGGGGAGTATCGGATGATTGACGGCGTGATGGAGACGCGTTGCTGGGGACCGAGGAAGGCAAGTGGGCTTCCTGCTAGAATGACTTCTGGGCCTGTAGTAGGGCTGCCGTAGGACGTGAAGAGAGCAATGCGTGGACCCTCATGTCTACCGCTTTGGGATTTGACGAGGCCAAGCCAGAGGCCGTCGTCTCCATATGACATCTGTGCTTCGTCAAGAATAATGACTATATTCGCGTCGGCCAGAGTTGCGTAAGTGACGAGCTCATGGCCTGCGTCTCTGGCCTCGCGAATAAGGATACTCTTGTAACTGTCGGTCTGCTTCTGAGGCCAGGATGGAATGTAGGTGACCGGGACTTGTCGATCATAGTAGTGGTTAAACAGAAGACGAGCCAGGACTGTTTTTCCGGATGCTGGTGTCCCTCGGATATTCACAACTCGCTCCTGATCGAGAATGCTCGCCAGTTCTTGAACAGTCTTTTCTCGTGGACATCTGAGAGAGTTCTCTGGAGGCCTTCGATTAGAAATCGAGATATAGATGACACCCAAAAAAGAGATCAAGAAGCATACCTATCATCCAGCGAGTGTCTTGCTTTGTCTGTTGTTGACAAAATATGCTCCTTAGGAACTCCATGGTGGAAAGACTCTGACGAGGTAAACTATGATCCAGATTCTAAGCAGGTGTGCATCGGTGCAAGGTATGAAGCGGATCAAGGGCGCTGGAGAGGAACGTAGTCGCCGCCCGTGTACTGCCAATAATGACATATGACCCGGCCTTTTTCATAGTATAAATGGGTAGGGATAACCTAGTAGACAAAACATATGTAAATAATAGTATTTTAACAAGATAAGTAAGCATTTTATACTTCCAAAATAGGTAATTTCTTGGCAAGTCATGCAGCTGTAGTACCATATCGATACTACTGTGAGGTACTGTAGTACCTGGAACTGCAGCACCGATAAACAGTACCAAAATCTGCTTGGTACTGCAGTACTTGTCAAGGTCTAGTGCTTAGATCTGTCCACGATTAGGACTCA